CCCTTTCGTCAAGGACAGTTTTGCCATGGAAGCCGAATGACTCTCCAATATGTAGGTATGGTGGGCATCTGGATCAATTATATTGAAGTTTTTTCATCACTGAAAATAAAGTTTTTCAATTCTTCCTACAACATTTGTAATTTAAGTATGTAAAATGCTGAAAACGAATTTTCGTGTAATAGAGTGGGCTGTGTGGGTTTAGCGATTTATTTCTTCACCCTAAGTACCAAAACAGTTTTTATTATTTATTCTAAACTTTTACTTGTGACAGAGAGACTCAAATACATATAAATTTTTACGGCAACTCTGCTGTTCCTAGTAGTTAATCCTTGCATATGTCGTTAGGGCTACTCTTTTGGGGTTTGTATAGGGCCGTCAAGCTTTGATTTCAATAGTCAACGGGATTTTTAAAGGAACTTCATATTATATTCTAATGTCTGATTACTTCAGCAGTTAAGTAGGTACCTTTCAAGCCACAAAAATTCTCTCCGGTTATATTTCCGGGCTCATATTTAGATAGTTCATTGCCACGGGATATTATGGGCCATAACATAACATGGAAAAATAACAAAAGGGTTTTTTATTATGAAAATAGTTTCTATATATTTAAGGTGTTACCACACAGTCATTGGTGCAGTTTTCTGTTGAAAATTTTTGACACTGGAGCATTCATTCATTCACATAATTCATTAATTCATAATTCATAATTCATTTTGCACATACATATAATTATTTTCTATTGAATATTATACTATTGTTAGTGATAACGGTAGTTAAAATTGTGAACGAATACCAAATTTACTATCAAAATACTTATAAACTAAAGGCTATTATTACTGCGTGCAGCAAAAAGTTTTACCATTCTTTCATAGAGCGAAAATGGGGAAAAACGTATTGCATATATAATCCTTTTACTGGGGTACATACATAGATTACTAATAGAAGAACTGATCCAAATTAACTGCAATCAACCAATCGACATACATATGTTACGATTAGGTTATAAATAGGTGAAATCGCGTATTCCTTGGACTAAAACTAGTAAAACTGTCAAAAAATAAAAATTCGCTCAGAGCGAGAGAGTAACACTGAAAGGTTCGGAACCGCTTTATAGTAAAAAATGGTAGTTTCTGTCAACTTCAAAATAACCTCCAAATTTTGGTTGTATATTTGTATGTAAATACACTCCGCTCACACATGTAAATAACCAAAATCTCTTTCAAATTCATTAGAGTACACTTAAACAAGTAATTAAATACTTTTCAACATGAATTAGCAGAGTGCACTTTTCAATTTGGTTGCCAAACACGCTACAGCTGATCGTTTGACACATTTACCAGAATTTACCAGCAGAAAATCTTCGGATTAAAACTATTAACTTCTGACAGAGAGAAGACCTTATTTACTTTATTTTTGCCCTCTCAATAGTCAGAGATCCGAGTACGGGATCGATTTCCAGTAAAATCTGACTGATTCTGACTATTTCTGACTAGTATGGACTCGTATGGGATCGCAACTAATATTTCGCCATGTGTTACTTCCGTCTCCTTCTCCCACTTCCAAATAATTCACGTGCCCATATATTTGAATCAAATAAACATACTTAGAAGATATCAACCAATACTTCCCATATACCAATCGAAAGAAAAAATTTTAAATGTTTGATTAAGAAAAACAAAAAGAATATCATTCGAATGGTTCCGAACATGTCGGAAGTTGCAAATTTTTTCAAAAA